GGCGAGCATGGAGCTGATGATAAAGGCTCGTTCTTCTGCGTCACCTGCGCATACCAGGTTGGCATGCGAATAGATGACTGGTGACAAAGACACAAGCATATAACCAATGGCCACGGCAAACCTAGCAACATGTCAGCTTCATCTTACGAACCTTGGCTGGGAAACTTACCATTTCCAGGCGAACGATGACTGGTCGTACAGGACAAAGCCCAGGGCAGCGATGAATGTCATGAACGTGACGAAGCCGAACAAAGGGATCTTGGCCCGATCTCCCCATTTGTCGACCACCCACGAAAAGGTAAAGATGAAGACGACGCCCAAACTTGGACTGATGGCCTAGATCGGGGCGTCAGTGAGGAACACTCGATGTACAATGGAGGATGACTTACTGTATAGTTGTTCACCTGGAAGGTGTCGTACTGCGGCTGTGCTCTGAGCCACAGAATGTGTTGTTGCCACCAGCCCATGCCGAGAATCCAGATGATGTTCCACGGCACGAGAACCCAGAAATGCCATCGACCAAAGAACCTCTTGACCGACGAGAGAGAAAATGGCAATCCCTGCGGCGACTTGCGACCCACCAAGCGCATCCTCTCCAGCGCAAGAGCGTGCTCTTCTTCGGTAAGGAACCATCTCTTTGAGGTCCTAAGCGCACCTGGGAAGAAAGTTGCCCCCCAGAGAGCGATGGGAAAGGTGCACAGGGATCCGATTAGGAACATCCATCTCCATCCCGCGTGTCCAAGGCTGCCGTCGAGATTGCGATAGATTCGCGCAGCAAGAACACCCGTCGACACGGTTCCGACGCCAGATGACATGTAGAAAATACCAGCGCGACGCACAATCTCATCTGGTCGGTACCAACTCCCAAGGACATAATGAATCGAACAGAAAAAGGGCCCTTCGCAGAGACCGATAATGAGTCGGTACGCCGCCAACTGACCAAAACCTTTGGCCCAGAAACAAAGCATTGTGAAAAGGCCCCAGAGGAAGGTTGAGGTCGGGAGCACAATATGAGCCGGGATCTTGGTAACGAGCAGCGTCGATGGAATCATGGAACTAGGCGCATGGTCAGTACGAAGTCGATATCCCTGGACGATGACATACACTGCATATCCCACAGTGAACACAGACTGCAACTGGACGTATTCGTTCCGCAGTAGTTTGAGGTCTGTTGGCGATATCAGTCCATGTCCCCAATACACAATGCCAGATCATCTCATACCTTCTCTCATCCCGCTAACATAAGCATTGGCGAGGATGCCGCGGTCAATGTACATGACCTAATGACATGTCAGCTTGCCTCAAGACACAAAAGGACGATTGGGATATGCGCACCCAGAAACCCATGCAGGCAAACGAGAGAATGGTAAAGTCAAGCTTCAGGACCAAGCGACGCTCCACTGGTCCATCATTCTTGTCGAACCAGGCAAGAAAACCTCTATCCTGGGCCGGGTGAGCGTTTGCTTTCTCAGAGGTCAACGGAAGTTCTTCTTTGGAGTCGCTGAGGACCTCTGAACCCGCCACAGCGGTAACAACGACGTCTTCCTGCTGCTTCGACATGGCTCTATGGATGTGGTAGATTTTGTTTCAAGTCAAAACTATCCATCCGCTTGCCAAAAAGCGTCTTGCATTGAACAGAGGACATGCAGTGCTCTCTAAATACCTTTTTAATCTTCGGTCATGGGGGAAATCCGGTCGTCTGGGTCCGGAAGCCTCAACTTCAGTTTACGCTATCTACATGCCATGGAATCACGACATCTGCCTCGTCGAACTCTTTTTTTGTTTTGTTTTTTTCTTTTTTGCCTCACACGGCATGCCCAATCCGACCGTTGAAGACTTATCTATTGTATCCGATGATCGGAATCATATAGGCGAGCACGCCATCCAGGAATCGTACCGCGGAACGTTATTGACAAGTTGTGGACCACGTCCCCTTTCCTCCCTGGCAAAACGACCCGCTGGTATGGTCCGAAACGCGCTACTATGGTCGAGGCCGAACTCTTATGTTCGAGGCCGGCCAAGAACGTATGGGTGGGTTTTATAGATCCAGCACGCGAGGGCGGTTGATTTCTTTGTACAAAGATCTTCAGAATCTTGGCTCCAAAAAACATTATCTACAGGGTCTCGAATGACCCCCGACGGTTTGTCCAATTGACAAGTTTATTCGATAACCCTTGGGATCATTGTCCTCTACCAACATGGCTCTCTCATCCGAAAATAGCTCGAGACTGCCCACTCCAATAGTAACTGATGATTCTGATGGAGAGACAGGAGGCCCGCAAAGTGCAATTACCACGCCTGACGAGGACATTCCTGTGCCGCCAGGTCGATCCCAGTCAAGCAGGCCGGTTAGCGCCATCATCGTCGGCGCAGGAATCGGCGGAATTGCAACAGCAGTTTTGCTCTCGCACAAAGTCGACAATCTGACGTACACCGTATACGACAGGAACAGCAAGGTTGGAGGCACTTGGGCTGAAAACACTTATCCTGGTGTCAGATGCGACGTGCCATCCCACGTGTACCAACTCACCTTTGCGCCCAATACCGACTGGAGCGAGTACTATTCCAAAGGTAGTGAGATCCAGGAGTACTATTCCCGAGTGGTCGAAGACTATGGAGTGAAGCCAAATCTTCGGCTATCGCACGAAGTTTTGTCTGCTCGATGGATCGCAGACACACGAGAGTGGGACGTCGAGGTACGAAACCTCTTGACTGGCGAGGTCTTCAGGAACCGCGCCGATTTCTTGATCTCGGCTCCTGGAAGAGTCAATGAGCCTCACTATCCCGACATCAAAGATCTGGCGACGTTCAAAGGCAAGGTCGTGCATACTGCCAGATGGGATTCAAGCATCGTTCTGGACAACAAGAGAGTTGCCATCATCGGGAACGGGGCATCTGGTCAGCAGATTTTGCCCAACATTGTGTCCCAAGTTGCCCACATTGACCACTATGTCCGTTCCAAAACCTATGTCAGCCCGACATTTCGTCAAGGCCTGCTAGAAGCTTCAGCTGAAATTCCGGGGGGTCTCGTCTACAGCGAGGACGAAAAGAAGACATTTCGGGAAAACCCAGCCGCATACCTGGCTTACCGCAAGGGACTCGACAAACAACATTACGGCGCGGTTAACAACCAGTTCGGGAAGCTGGGCACTGAAGCGAACAACAAACTGCGTGAGAGCCTTCTCTCAACCATGTTGCAGCGTCTCCATGGTGACAAAGAATGGCTGGCTCGACTGACTCCGGACTATGCACCCGGTTGCAAGCGGCTCACCCCTGCACCGGGTTATCTCGAGGCCATTATCGGGCCCAAGGTTGAATTCATCGACGACAATATCATCGAGGCCACAGAGCACGGGTTAAAGACTGGCGATGGTAGCATCCGAAACGTGGACGTGATCATACTTGCAACGGGCTTCCAGAACGGATTCTATCCTCGCTTCCCAACCATCAACAAGGACGGCGATGACCTGTCTCAGATTTGGCGTCCCGGTGGCAAAGTGGGATATCCCGAGACATACATGGGCGCCATGGCACCACAGACTCCAAACTACTTCTTCGTGCTCCAGGCTCAAGGCAATGCGTTCGGGGGTTCTGTGCCCTACCAGTGCGAAATCTCTGCGACATACATTGCCAAGGTGATCCGTAAAATACAACGACACCAGTACGCGACCGTGAGTCCCACTCTGGCCGCCGCAAGCGAGTTTAGCGAAGTGGTCGACCGATATTTCAAAGACTCAGTTGTCAACGACGGGTGCCGGAGCTATTTCAAACTCGGGGGCCACACCGGCAGGGCGAGGAATGTCATTGGGTTTCCCGGAACAACCAGACAGAGGCTCGAGGTTCTCGCCGAGCCCAGGTGGGAAGATTTTGCCTTTGAGACCCTAGGTGGTGCTCGCATAGGAAGCGAGGACCAACACGGTACTGAGAGTGGTGGGGATGTGGTTAGCGTGGCTGGCAAGGCTGCGAAGAACCGCTTCCTCGGGTTCTGGGGCGATGGGAGGTCGGTCCTCGACGAGGCCAACGACCTTGACGCAGTAACATACTACCTGAAAGAGGTGGGAAAAGTAGACCTCAGACGCTTGCACGAGGACTTAGTCTGAGACCAGGCAGGTTGTTTTTGTTAGATAACGATGTTTATTATTCGTTTCTCCTCTTCAATTGGCGCAATGATGAGCGCCGGTAATAGACGGCCGGTGGAGGCACCGAAAAAGGGCAACGCAGTGAACTTGCTTTCATCGGAAGGAAGTCAAACCCCAGTCACAAACTGTCGACAAAGTCTACCTTAGACCTTGGTGCTTGCTGTTTGCTTGCTGTTTGCTTGCTGTTTGCTTGCTGTTTGCTTGCTGTTTGCTTGCTGTTTTCTTGTTGTAGCTTTGGCAGTGCAAAATTTACCGGCCACGTTTTGCTCCAGCGTGGTTACGAGTCAGAAGATAGTGTCTCTGTGCAGATAGAAGAATCATGTGCTGATCTGCTCGACGGAACATCAGTGGTTGAAAGCACTGTCAACCTCCTCCCTTGGCAGGAGTGTCGACTTCAGACGTTGGAATTGCGTGACAGGCCCAGAGCGAAGTATTCCCGATTAGGCCATTGGCTTCAACTTCCAGATAACGTCGCCCCCACCATGGGTCCTCGACCATGGACCATGATACTTGGCGCAAAGACATATTCATACCAGTCGACAACTAGGTTTGATCGCATCATTATCGTCGTGGATGGTAACAGCGATAAACCGGGTCGCAAAGGCGACATCGGAGACGGCAGCTATCTGCGCTGTATCCGCCCCGGGTGGACTGGTCAAAGGTTGATTGGGATCGCAAGGCTGGCTGGCTGGCTGGCTGGCAAGATGGCCAAGAACCAAAAGGGGGAGGGTAGGGAGGGAGCGCACAGAGAATATCGGATGGTTGTGGCAGACTGATTTTTCTCAAGAGGTGCATTTCGCTCCCAATCTTCGACGAGACATTTCTAGGGCTAACCAAGATTGAGACGAGATTTGAGGGAAGATGAGCAACGACGGCCAGAACGACAAGCAGGCGAGGATCGCCATTGTCGACGATGCTCCTCCTCCTCCTCAGCCGAAAAAGCGCATTTTGCTCAATGCCTTTGACATGAATGGGATTGGTCACATCAGGTGAGTTCCCATGAAGTGCGCTGCTTTCAAAGATTGAACACGACCATCTCTGCGCGAAGATGAAAAACATGAATTGACATGACAATATCATGGTCAAAGCCCAGGACAATGGCGCAACCCGGTCGACAAGTCCAAGTATAAGAACCGTCTGGACTACTGGATCAACCTCGCCAAACTGCTCGACCGGGGGAAATTCAACGCCCTCTTTCTCGCCGACAACTTCGGATCGCACGATGTCTTTGGCGGCAGTCATGCGCCGGCCATTCGAGCGGGCACCCAGTGGCCGATGTATGATCCTTTCGTGGTAGGTTGATCAATCCAAGAATTCGCATCTTGGAAATAGTTCTGTCACTTACACGCGCGACAGATCATTTCGGCCATGGCAGCAGTCACGAAAAATGTGGCTTTTGGCGTGACTTCGTGTACGACTTTTGAACCGCCTTTTCTTCTGGCCAAACGCTTTTCCACCTTGGACCATGTGACCAAGGGCCGCATTGCCTGGGTGAGTAGTCATTGGGAATGCTTCGACCCGATTAGACCCAGGTCAGTTCTGTGTTGGCGTGAACCAACTGACTGACCGTGTGGTGCGTATAGAACATTGTGACCTCGTGGTCGGACAACGCTGCCCGGGCTGTGGGCCTGGAGCAACTGCCCGAGCATGATCTGCGCTACGAAATGGCCGAGGAGTATCTCAACCTCATGTACAAGTAAGTCCAGGCCTTTCTCCATCGGACTCTGATGTGGTCAGCTCTCCATGTCAATGGTTGCTGTATAAACTGTGGGCCTGTTAACTGAACATTGACACAGGCTTTGGGAGGGTTCTTGGGCTGATGACGCCGTGGTGCAAGACTCTGCAAATGCGACATACACCGACCCGTCCAAGGTCCGGAAGATAGAGCATCGAGGCCGCTTCTTCAAGTGTGTGAGCGCTCACTTGGTCGATCCTTCACCACAACGAACACCGGTGCTCTTTCAGGCGGGCATGTCACCGTGAGTATTGTGACCTTGCAAAATTTGCAGAATCAAGCCACTATGCGTGTTCCCGCTAACTCTATGGCAGAGCAGGTGCAGCGTTTGGAGCGAAACACGCCGAATGCATCTTCATCGGAGGACGAACCCCGGGATATTTGCGCGGCAAGATCACAGAGACACGGCGGCTGGCAGCTACTCAAGGCCGTAACCCTCGCGATCTGAAGTTTTTCGTCCAATTCACCCCGATCCTGGCGCCGACCGACGAAGAAGCACAGGCCAAGCTGGACGAGTATCGAAAATATGCCATTCCCGAGGGCGGCCTCGCCCTGTTCTGCGGCATCACCAAGATCGACGTCAGCCAGTTTCCCATCGACGAGCCATTCCCCACCGACCGCAATCATCCGGCATACAAAGGCCTCAGCGACCGTGCCATCGAAGCTCTGACGACTAAGCCCGAGAGATGCCAGGTCTGGACCCCACGGGAATTGGGCAATTTCCAAGCCATCGGAGGCAGTGGAACGTTCATCGCGGGTAGCCCCGTCACCGTGGCCGACGAGATGGAGCGCTGGCTCAATGAAGGCGATGTGGACGGGTTCAACATCGGCCATGTCGTCGTGCCCGGGGCGTGGGAGGATGTGGTTGATCTACTGATCCCCGAGCTGGAGAAGAGGGGGTACAACCAGGACTATCCCACGCCCGACGAGAGCACGGCACGGGAGAATTTGTTTGGCACCCCCGGAGATGCAAAGCTGAGAGCGGACCATCCGGGCAGAAAGTTCGCTTTTGATCAGTATGGCAAGACCTGGGAGTGATCTCGACTCGGCTCGACCCTATACACCTGAAACGGGAGATGGGGTTTGACAGTGGAGGAGGCGGCTGTCCGATAAAATTCTGTGGATGGAGAGATCTTTGGACTGAATGACTCGAACGAGCAAGATCTCAATGAACTTGTCCGCTCGTGAAAAAAGAAACCTAGTAGAGTTGTATGTACCAGTGTCTGACTATGGTGAGATAATTCCCCAGCCGTCTCTTTGACCCTCTGGGGAGGAAGAAAAAAAACAATGCGCATTTTCAGCACCAAACCTACCCATATAGACCGCAGGAGGAGGATTCAGTAGACCCTCAATGCGGCCCAACTTGTTCAAAACCGAGGATGGGCATCTTTCCAGCCCCGAATCTGAGGGTGTTGGGCAAGACCTACCACGGCGACGGGGAGTCCGCCAGGGGTCATACAACGAATGACCTGGCGAGACCCTCTCGGGATCAGCCGTTGAAGCCAAAGCCCAATTCGACTACAGGATCCGAATACGAAAATTTCCCTTTTTGAAACCCCGAGTGCCTGAAGTCTAAGTTCGAAAAATGCGTTTGGGTCTGACAGTCGCAGCAAAGACGAATCTCCCTCGCGGATGCGCGAAATGTCACTTCAAGGCAATCTCGATCTCTCCGTCAGACTCCTCCATTTCCTTTCCCACAACCTCACGCCCGAGTCGACACGATCCCAGGACAATGTGGCAGCCTAACGTCGAGACGGGCAAATATCGTATCAATCCTCCATCTATCCCTTCTGCATCCTTGCAGTTTTCTCCCCGCAACTGCACCGACATTGTTGGCGCCAACTCGGCGGCCGAGTTGAGTTTACTATGGCACCGAGCCTACCTCCAGGTGCACAGCAGCATACCACACTGAGACAAGGAAAGGCCATGCAGTCAGTGTTCAGGGTCACCCTTGAATCCGCTACATCAAGGACCGGCAGATTGTCCAAAGCAGAAAAGACACCAGTTCATACGAGGAGGTCCCACAAGAAGTCGCGGCACGGCTGCAGGACCTGTAAACAGCGACGAATCAAGGTAGTTTTCTCTCCGAGTACTCGGATGTACGGACAGCCTGGTGAGTGGACTAATGCATTATCTCTAGTGCGATGAGAACAGAGATGGTGGTTGTCTCAAGTGCCAGAGCCATGGACTTGCTTGTGATTATAACAAAGGAGCCCAACTGCCGTCCCGTGCTTCTGTCATCCTACCAAAGCAGCAGCAGCAGCAACATGGTTCTCCTACGTCTTCCTGCTCAAGCGACAATGGTTCGCGATCCTTGGTCAGAAAAATTCGTCAAGAATCGAGCTCAAGATCTCTCGTACCCCTAACACTGGTTCGCAACCCACCTTCTCCTTTTCCGTTCGAAATCCCCGGGCAAATGACCTCTATGGTACACACATTCAGTCATTTTGGCACCGTCACATACTGCTCGATGGGATCCAACATGGGACAAGAGATCATACGAACCACTGCTTTCGATCTGGCCCTCGAAAAGCCCTACCTCATGCACGCAGTGAATGGTGTCTCGGCTGCACACCTATGTCATCTTCTTCCTGCTGCTCGACACCCGGCCCAACATAACCAGAACCAGCTGACGAACTTCTACCACTTTCAGAGGGCATTGCAACTCTTTCGCGATGAGCTGGCGACCGGTGTTACCAAGGCCAACATGAATGCTCTGCTATCGACGGTGATGCTGATTTGCGTCCATCAATTTATGCTCCCCCAATCTCAACCGGATCCTGGAACGAGTTTCGTGTACGCACCGGCGGAGCGTCGAAGTGAGTGTCTGAGGTGGTTGACGATTCAGCATGGGTTTAATGCCCTGTATGCTGAGCTGGGTGAAGTGATTTGGGGATCTGTCTGGAATCCGGTTTTCACGGACTCGGATATCAAGGAACTCGCGTCTACAATCATGACTGCAGAGGCCGGCGACGATATTCATGCCTTGTTTCTGGAGCTATGCGAGGTTACCCCGGACGCGTCGTCTCAGAACAACCCTTATTACGAGGCGTTGGAGCATCTACTCTTCACACGAAGACTCAAGCCGGGGATGAATACCTTTAACAAGCTGGTCACATTCGTCGGGTCGGTGGAAGGAGACTTTCTTCAACTGTTGCTTTGTAGAGACAAGCGAGCACTGTTGATCCTGGCCCATTGGTTGGCATTGATGATTGGGCTCGATCAGTGGTGGAGCAGTGCAAGATGTAAGAATGAATGCGTCGCCATCACGACATTCTTGATGCACGATCAGGATGAAAGGGTTAGAGCGTTGCTACGATTTCCTGCTCAGCTTGTGGGAATCGATCTGATGGCGGTCGAGCTGTTGGACGGACACAGCATAATAAGCTCGTGACCCTTAAAGATGCCGAGTTGCAGATTTGCTCGACCTCATCGGCCTCAAAGACTTGTATTTCAACCCCCAAACACCATTCCATCCTCTTAGGAGCGCAGATCTGCCGCCGGGTTCTGTATTTAGTATCTCCTATTCTAAATGGAGTAGTGGCGTTGAAGCAGCGATTGATAGGTTCTCGTCGGAGAGGAAACCCTCTCTGTATGTACTGGACGGTTGAATGGTGGTTTGACTCTCTTGTTGGCGAAGAGGTGCAACTTATGATATGTGCCTAACTCTGTACCTCGTACCTCGTACAGGGTGCGCCAGTGGTGCTTGCTTAGGGGCGCCCGAGGATCGGTTTCCCGACAGAGGGCACCCAAGGCACCTAATGATCTGCCACAGTGAGGCGCCACAGGCTCCGCGGCACCCAACCACGCGCCAGTGAGGCTGCTGTTGGTGCCTTTTTCGTCACGTGGAGGGGGAGACCCTCTTCCAGCCTGACCTGCGCCCTTCTCAAATCAGCGCCCGACTCGTCTTCTCTCTTCTATACATCGATGAGACTTCACTTGAATTGGTCATCTCTTTGCCAAATAAATGTCATGGTCGTAGGGGTGCATGGATGTTACCGTCCACTTTCTCCTCAAGCACGTTGACCGTGTTTCCCTCGTTCGATTGACGACCCGAAATATGTGTCCGGAGTTTCTAATACTCTCGACACCATTATCCCAGTACTCATAATGGCCGTTGCCCCAGAACCAGTACAGTCTTCGTTGCCGGTACTTGGGTCTGTCCGAAAGACCCTCTCGCCCTTTGAACTCTTGATTACCTGCAACCCGCCCATCCTCGAATCACTCCTCGCTCAGGTTCCAACTGAGTCCATCTTCAAACTCTATCAGACTTCACCCTACCTGCGTGACTTCTTCTCGAAATCTCCCACCTCCTGGCGATATATCTCATGGCGTCTATACCAACCCGCGGTCACGACCGCCACCGTCGGCGTCAACGTGGCTGGAAATAACGGACAAAGACAATCGAGCAACTACGCCCTCGACCAAATCATCCTGACAGTCATAAACCCCTTTAGCACGAGGCTTGTCAGCCTAGAGTTGGATAACACGGCTGTTAGTGGGACAACTTTGACGTCCACTGTGCTGATATTGAGGAGGGAGACCCTTCGCCATGTCTCAGTGCGCGGGTGCAAGAATGTCTCCTTGAAATACCACATCAACCCATGGTTACAAATGCATGCATTGGCTCGCGAGTCACCGGATGCCAAAGGCCCTCCCGGTTTCGAAACCCTTGCTCTGAAGAGTTTATATACCTATCGATGCCGCCATCACAGGAGGAGGCCGTATTTGCCGAGTAGCCTCGCACGCAAGGAGAGCGATAGCGAGCCCACGCATGAATTGGTTCTAACCTGCCACAAACTAGGCATCTGGACAGATACGGCTTGGTGCACCACGCCCGGCGCCAGGTGTTATCGGAGGAGAGGGTATGTGAAACTGCGCATGCCCCAGGACCCCCGGGAAGTCTGGGTAGTCTATGATCGCTTGTGGAGGAGTCGGAATTGGCTGGGCCCAGCTGAGCAACCCAGAAACTACGCCTTGACCAAGAAGCGGAAATGGGATTGCAGGAGTTGGGAAGTTGACGAGGAGGGGATGAACGGCGAAACCATTGGCACGGGTTCCGAGGGCAAAGCAATGCCGGCACATCTACGAGCATCTCACCGAAAATTTGTCGAAAACGTCATTTGCCACAACTGTTCGGCAGAGATCCTGGAACGGTGTGAACAGTGCTCGGTCATGATGCACTGCACCGGGTGCAGGAAGACACTATGTGCCAGTTGCGCGTTCGATCGTCCTTACTTGCGAAACAAGAATGCTCCCGAAGAAGAAAGAAACAAGTTCTGGTGGGCACCCGGATGTGCTGTCTCTCCTTGTTCCATGCAAGATCAAGATCTACCTCCCAACGGAGCGCCCAACGGGAACCAAAACACAAACACGAACACCCTACCAAATATCAAGTTCAAATGGTGTTGCACAGAGCCAGTCTTTTCAGGTGGCGGTGGCATCACCTTCAGCAACAGTGCGAATCGGGACTCGGACCGCATTCGTGCGGCGCCGCTCCCAATTGGACAGAACTGGGAGGATCCGGAGTTCGTTCGTGATGCTCCCGGTGTCGTCAGCTATCCCGCAGATGACAGTGCGCCCAAAGAAGGACCTGCCGGCCGCTGGGCGAATATTAGTGCTTTATTTGAGACTGCTGCATATCTGACCGGTGGAGACCACCCTACCTTGTCAGTCCCTCGGGTTTTGTGTGATGACTGCTATGGCTCGGAAAGTTGGAAGGTCAAATGCAAGGCCTGTTCAACACCGATTTGTATTAAACATGATATTGGTGAGCGTGCCAAAGCCAGGATCTGCGGCTACAGAGAACTCCCCGTCGAGAGACAAGATTTCAAGTCGAGAGTGAAGGCTTTGAAGTTGCTCGCTACATTGATGCGACAACGGAAAGAAAAGGAGGCGGCAGCAGAGCAAGCAGAATTGGCCGAGGTTGGTATGGCTGTCAGGACCCCCAAAGCTGGGAAAGTTGGCGTCAAATCGGGCTCTCCTCTCTCCCCCTCGGCATCGTTAGCGGTAGCAGCGGCTGAGGCTGCACTCAATGCGGAGATGGGAGGGGGTTCGAGAACAATACGAACACATCTGGCAGAGATTGAATGGCTCCAACGTCCACTATCGCCCGCTTCGAACAGCAGCGGGCCTCCATCTCGATCTACCTCTCCGTCGCCATCGGCGTATTCAATGACTGCGACTCCGGAGCCGAGCTCTGCGCCTCGACGGCCAACTCGACCGGACGTTGAAGAAGGTCCGGGTTGGCGAGGCTGTCAAACACTCTTCTGCCCAGTGTCACGTTCGGCCCCTGGCGACCACAGGCGACGCTGTACAGCGGTCATGAAGACCTGCATGGAATGCAAGGTTTACGTCTGTGGCGATTGCGCAAGTAGCCTGGAACCTCCGTGTCCTTGCAAGGGGTGCCGAGCTTCTCAGATCGAAGAAGCCAACAACATACCCCCTATCCTCCCACCGACTACTGCATCATCTGAATCTCCTCTGTTTTTCTGTCCGAATTGCCGATGGGAGAGGATGCGATCAGGAAAATGTAAGCGGAGGTCACCAGCATTTTTGGCTGCCCTATCATGGCACGGCAAGAAGCCGAGGAAGCGCAAGGACAAGATGCGCAAACCTCTGGAAGCTCGACGGACGAGTCTAGGGCCAGGCGCCAGTCCCTCCAGTACAGAGGAGGCAATCGATGGGCTGGTGGACTTCTTCTCTAGTCTAAACGCCCAATATCCCGGTACAGGACACTTCCAAATAGATGCGGGTGGTTCGGGGCGGTCAACTGGTGGCGGCCAAACAGGAGCCGGAAGCAACCCACAGGATATACAAGATTTGGAAGACATGGGTGCTCTGGCCCGTGATTTGATCCGTCGGATCCAGCGGTTGAGAGATCAATTTCCTCCTGGATCTTTGGCTGCTCTGGCGCTGCCAGATATTCGGTTGGACGACGAAGCCGAGGTTGCGGTCAGGATTGCACGCACGGCGAGCGATGCGGCCCGAGCGATGACGCACCAGATGTTGGCGATGCAACTTGGAGCTGACGTCGCAGATCCTCACCAGCACAGTGCGCATCTCGATGCACTCCCTATACCTATGCAGCCGATCGGAGACGGCAATGGCAATGGCCCTCAGTCTATATTCGGGCAGACTGTGCACGAAACCCAGGGTGTACCTCAGAATGAAGTTGTCGCACCTGAACCGGCGGAGGTGCTTGGGGAGGGAGAAGTGGAGGACGAGGATGATGGACACTTTGAGGAGAGGGAATCAAGTACAGAATGATGACAGATGGTGAAAAACGTCGTGCCGCCAGGAGGAAAGCATCGCGCGAGGTAGGGAATTTTTGGACTGGATTGCATAGCACCAACGGAACAAAAGGGTGGGAGTTAGATTTGGGACCTGGTTGGGCTGGGGTCAACTTGATCTGATATGAAGATTTGTCTCTCGTTTGGTAATGACACGAAATGACCTTTACCGATGACTCGAGTCTGGATTTTTCAACGCTTCACCCTCTCGCAGAGCTGGAATCGAGTCAACCCGTTTCCTTTTTTCATGTTTCGGTCGCGATGATGCAGTTACAAGGCACCATTGTCGAGGGACACAGGTAAGAGACAGATATGCTGACACTCAGGAAACTGGGATCTGGAAAGATGATCGTCCACGGACGGCCCTTGTGGTATCCGCTGTCCGTTCCATTGGTTGCTAAACCTTCTTTCCCTCATGTTTGTGTTGCACCAAACTCCTGGATTCCCCTAAGAGTGATTCTCCGAGGCTAACACATGCATTATCTGGTTCACCAACAGAGACAGCGGGACATTTTGGTTCACAGAAGCTTGGGCTGGCAGTGGGAGGTCCTCACCGTCGAGGTCCTCACCATCGCGGTCCTCATGCTGAGGACTTTGGACTGCTGGTCAATAACATAAAGGTCCAGCCCATGCAGTGCTGTTGTCAAACAACTCTATAGCTCTTCTGCAAGTGACTTTGACTTCTCTCACAGACAGACACTAGAGCATAGCCTCACCTCATCATCGACAGACTCTTGTGCATACCTTCACCTCACTATCGAGGTAAACACTCAGACTTACACTCGTCCAACACCAAGACAACATCTCAACTCAACCCTCACCATGGCAATCAAATCTCTCCTCTTTGGCGGTCTGATGACCATCGCCGTCATGTGCGCCAGTGCCGACGCAACTCCAAACGGAAACGCCAGAACAACAATGGCAACGCTTGTCACCAAAGCGACACCATCACCAACACCAACAGAAACAACACTAGCAGGGCTCTCCCTCGTGGCGTCAGCCGCGGGCTGCGAAGGAGGCTGTAAGAACGCCAAGGACGAGGCCCCCTCCTCCAACCAGCCAGAACGCACATGCGTGCGCGAGGCGCTCGTCGCGCTGGCCAACTGGCGGCTGCACTGCGACCGGGCGTTCCCTCCGCTCGAGTGCTGGACGCGGGCGCCCAACGTGGAGCGCTGCTGCGGGAAATGGGTCGACGACGACGACGCACACTACAAAGACTACCCGCCCGTGCGGGTCAGCCGCGAGTACCAACTGGGCGAGACGTCGTGGGAGTGGCGGTGGGACGCCAAGGTGGACGAGAAAAGGCACCGTCGCGAGGTCGTCCTGCAGACGCCCGAAGAGTTCAACGCCCGCAAGACCGTGTGCCGCCGCTGGCGCGCAGAGAACGACGTCGTCTTCGACGCCTACATGCGCCGTCTGAACGAGTACGGTATCTCCGACGCCGACAACACCGGCATGGTCATCGACAGCAAAACGCCCAGGTATAACCCCGAAGGAGGCGGTTATGGCGAGGACGGCAAGAACAAGTACCCGGAATTGGATCCTCTGTTGGGATGGTAGGGGTGGAGGTGGAAGTAGCGGTGGAGGTAGCGATAAGCGAGAGCTGATGGGAGGCTAGCAAGGGTGATATTATTTTTCAGACGAGTTCCGTTCCTGTACTACTATTATGGAAGGTGTTGAAGGAAGTGTTGAAGCAAGTGCTGGATAGTGATTAGACTCCGGGTTGGTTGGGGTGGGTTGGGGTGGGGTGTTGATCCCAAGACAGACACATGCATACGTACGAGGTATATAGTCGCTCGATACCGTGCCAGAGGGCAGAGTTACTGTAAAATGTGTGTATGCTTACTCTACATCCACGATGATGGTCTTCTTCTCTCTCCTCTTTTGCCTCCCCCTTCTCACGCCTGGCGATTTTTCAACTCTGCCCGTCAATATTTACGTCCTATCCCCGCGACTTGGAAACACCGAATATAGAACGTAGGGATTATTGACCGAGTACGATTATTAGTATGCCGTTAGGACCATGCGGTCGCAAGGGGAGGACTAGTCACGATTAAGGCTCTATAAGAAATAGACATTTAAGAGAGAGAAAAAAAGTTCCTAGCTGACAAACGTCGAGGATTGATCAACCAGGCTTCCATTTGTTTGTGTTGTGTGGAACACAGAAATTATGTTATCGACTTTATCGAAGAAGAAAAAAAGCTGTTTATGCAAAAACTTGGGAAAACCGCTTCCCAACCCCCCCTTCCCATATCGCGTATCGGGCCCCGGGGGGGTGGAGGGTTTTTCTCTCTCCCTCTTTTTCATGGGACCATCTCCGTCGTTACCACGTGCGCTTAGTAGTAGAACTTTGCCAGGTTAAGAAGCCATAGAAAATTAGAAAAAATAGCCCAACCCCTGTTTTCCCCAATGTATAAGGAGGAATTTACAGCGCAGCGGCGAGACCCATGATGGCGAGGACACCGAGCTCGATCTTGGGGAGCGAGGCGGCGCCGGTGTACGTGGCCGGAGCGACGGGGAGGCTGCTCGACGAGTAAGGAGCATAGCCCCAGGTGCTGGTTGAGACGGCAGCGACAGGCACGCTGCTGGTGGTGGCCGGCGCAACGGGGACGCTGGTGGTCGAGGACCAGTCAGCCCACGTGTGGGGAACGGAGGTCGTGGTAACGTCGGCGACGGGAACGCTGGAGGTCGTGGTCCAGTCGCCCCAGGTGTGGGTGCTGGTGGGGTCGACAACCTTGCTGGTGGTGGTCGACCAGTCTTCCCATCCGGTGCACAAGAGCGTATCCCAGACAGTCAGGGTGCTGGTGGTGCAGGTCTCCTTGTGGTGGGTGGTTGCGCACGAGACGGAGGTCGAGATGGTCGAGGTGCACACAGCGGGCGTGGTGGTGGTGGTTGTGGTGGTAGTGGTGGTCCAGTCGCCCCACGTGTGGGTGGTCTCGGGGTCAACAGGAGCCTTGGTCGTGGTGGTGGTGGTGGTCCAGTCTCCCCAGGTGTGGGTGGAGGTAGGATCAACGGGAACCTTGGTCGTGGTGGTGGTGGTGGTGGTCGACGAGGTCCAGTCCAACCACGGGGAGGAGATGGCAGAGCCAAAGGCAGAGCCGACGAGGGTAGCAACGACAGCAGTCTTCATCTTGATGAGTGTTCTGTAGAAACGAGTGACAGAAGTTGGGTTTTTTTGCTAGGTTGAGCAAAGAGCAAGAGCAAGAGCAGCAAACGAGTGACTGGGGTGAACTTGACACGGCTTGAGGAAGAGAAGACAAGAAAGTGAAGAGGTCGTCGAAGAGATAGACGAGTTAAAGTACTTCGATGCGGCGAGCAAGCCATTTCCCAAAAGGGGGCGCCCGAGCAACCAGATGGCTGTGGAGCGCAGCGCCATTCATCTTTTGCCATCCAGCAAAAGTTCTCATGGCAATTTCGCAATGAAGTTGGAGTCGGCTATTCCACCGCCCCGATGGCACCAATCCTTCGTTAGGGCAAGAGACCGGGCAAAACCTTGACTCACAGAAACAAATGGCCTGCTGTCATAGGAGAAATCAGCCTTGGAGTCGGAGATGCTCGTGGATCAGTTGCAAGTGGACCGGGGGGGCCAGATTGATGAGAGAGAGATCAGCGTGTGGTGTGCTGTGTACCAAGTAGAGAGGTAAACAGAAGTCGATGAGACATGATTGGCGGGCTTGTATGATGGAGAAGCGACATGATTTCCTGAATACGAGGTGGTTTAATTCCGTACCTGCAGGCAGATCACAGCTGATTTGCCTGTTGTCGACGCTTGTGGAGACGAGCAAAGCCCAAATCCATCCTCAACCGCCATGAAGCTTGTCACTAAGAGACCTTCACGAAGGGGGTTCCCTGGGTCTCCTGTTCCTTTCCTCTTCCATGGGAGCACCAGGAGCAATCTCTGGTCAAGGGGGGCCCTCAATCCCATGCTTGGATTGGGCATCATCGAGCAGATTTCCCCCTGCGACCGTGGGGAAATGGAAAGCGAAGTGGAGAAACAAAGAAAGGCGGTTTGTATCGAAGCAAAACAAAGGCGAGAGGGCCGAAAGGGCCAAACGCGCGAATGGTAGAGAAAATGGATTAGTGACGTTGAAACCACGGCACCGGTCTTCAAAGGCGTTGCACTGCCAAGAAAACCGTTCTCCGCCACGAGGAGGTTGCAGCCTATGTGCGACAATCCCGAGATGAAGCTCAATTTGGCCTTGGTATCGATAGTGGATTTAAGGTTGTTAGACTCGTTTGAGATATATAAAGGAGACCAATCGCAGGGGTTATCTGGAAGGCTAATCACACTAACTGTAATTGGTGGTCCTCGCCTCGCCAAGTATTTTGCTGATTCGGTATCACTTGCCTCGATTGTGATTTTCATTACCCCTGGACCCCATGTGGCCGCTGTTGATCTGCCTGGGTACGAGTACGACCGCCGGTGATGATGCGAGTTTCAACGTCACGCCAGTCAACAGTCCGGAGTATAACCTGGTAACGGGGTTTGACAACGTGCTCTTCCATTCGATAGTAATCAGCCGAGCAGGGGGAGTACCGAGTACACCGCCTCGATGAAAAAAAAAGGGGGATATTAGCCATGATCATACGAGGTATCGAGTACCGAGTATGCGAGTCACACCTCTTTTCCACCAGGTTCCAACGCTAGCTTGTTTGCCTGTCGACATACCTACTGTGTATGTACCTGAGTACGAGTAATACCTCGTACTCGGTATACCTCTGTGTACTTGGTACACTACGATCAAGCGCAAAGCAGCACGATGAGAGTCAGACATAACAGTTGCTGCCTATCATAGACTTGAATACTACTATATCTCCGGATTGTTGCTCCGATGCGAAAGGTGCAACTTGGCAAAACCGCTTTCCTCATTCATCCCAGCGTCCTGTCTTCAAGCGCCCCTATCTCTGGCTGGACCGGTGGCTACCAGAAATGCATCCTACCACAACAGGGACAGAGTATGAACCCTGTCGTTCGCCATAGCCAAACCAATTGACACTCTCGAACCACTTGCACTGGTGTCTTCCTGTGGCGCAGGGCTAGCTGATGACGTGATTTTGAGGCTGCCCCGGTGTCCGCCCACTCAACGCCTTCCCATTCCCCCCAGAGCCAGAGATGGAGAATTCAGAGTTGACGGAAAGAGGGGAGCCTGGAAGAGAGCTTGCAAGTATACTGCGAGGACCAAGGTTGCACTTGGTTACAAGAGCTGTTAATTGTAAGGCGCTGCTTCAACGTTACTACCATCACTCAAGGGTTTGCAGTCTATACCTGATGATGATGAGCTCCACCTCGTACTCTTGCGGGAAGTCGAAGACAAGTATATCAGAGGCTGGCTATCAGAATGGTTGGATTCAACCCTCGTATTTGGCGCTGCGACCAAGAGGAAACGTATGAGCTTGTCATTCACAAGCCACCCACGTCTGCAAGACTGTCCTCTTTAGATGCGCGGATATTCAATATGTACCGAGTACGGCTTGAGATGCTGACACTGTGTGCGCTGGTGGAATAGCCATGGAGCACACAGACTGATAAGATGCGAGTGAATCCAGCTGATAGGGAACATGTTGTGTGCCTTGACGAATCGATACAAGAGACAGGACTTCCAGATCTCTCGTGTGTTTCCTACCGTTTTCCAGAAACCTCTCCTTCATCTCGTTCTTCTCACTTCTGCAGCTGTCCATAAAGCCCTCCTTTGCTCCAGATTTGTTTCAAAAGCACAATTCTTCATTCAATACATGGGATGTTCTGCAAGACATCGATTTGTCGGTGATCGACGATGGCGCTGATTGGGACCTGCCGAAAAGGGACTAGCTTTACACGTGATGATTAGAGCGCGGCATTTGCGCCGACAATGGCGGCATCTCGAGATTTCAGGTTTGACCGCCACCTCTGTCTTGTACTGCGCCCTTACACTACATGGAACCCTTTGGCGTTCTTTTCTTGTTGCTCATCCTCCATTCTATTGCCGTTGTCATTCCAATGGGCCACGTCAAGTCGCCTAGACCCCCATCGTATTGACATACGTCCTCCAAAGCATGACCAGTGGGACTGGCCCTACCACTGACTGTCGCCAAACTCCGCATTCGTCGTCCACTTTCTACCGCAAATCTGCCGAAGATGGGTGATTCACGCCACTCAAGCAGTCGACGAGCCTCGTCCGTACATCGTGAAGATCTAGAGGCGACGGCACCTAACTTGCTTGATCGTACAGGATCGCAGGAGTTCAGCGTTGTTGAGAGTGTGGCCGTCCAGGAAGTATCGACCGAAGACGAGACCCCGGATGTGGCCCCGACAACATGGTCCAGATCGGTGAGGTATCTGGTCTTGCTTTGTGCCTTCTTGACCAGCCTGAGCTTCGGAGTAACGCAGGTGCCGCTGTTATATGTCTTCAGGCTCATGACTTGTGATGCGTATTACAAAGACCATCCCTCGGGACTGTTGCATGGAGTTGAGCGATCGCCCACGGCAGGGACCTGGACATCGATCCTCTCTGCCGCAATGGTTCCATCAGGCTATTCCACCCGTCTAAATACCGGAGACGGCACTGACCGGTGTTCTATCCACCCAATTGAAAGCGCAACAGCACTATCGGTGTCCTTACTGGGAGCCAGCACCACCGTTTTTGGCACATTGAACCTCTTTCTGACAGGCACCTTGATCAAACGCATTGGTGTCAAACCAACATTGCTCACTCAGGTGTTCTTTCCTGCCCTCAGACTATTGATACAAATTGTGGGCGTCGAGGTCTGGGGCACCACTGGCATAATCATCATCCAATGTTCGCAGATCGTTACCATTGTGGGTGGGCCGAGTGGCTATATGCTAGCGCTGAACACCTTTATCACCGACGTCGTGGAACATGAAGGCCGGACAGCCGCGCTGGGGAGACTGACCGGGAGCATGATGTTCGGCTCTGCGTTGGGATTCTTGTTGGGTGGCGTGGTGGCTGAGGCGTTTGATATCAAAGCCCCCTTCCGTTTGACCTTGATGCTCTTTTTGACCTCTAGTGCCTATGTCTTTGCCTTCTTGCCACACATTCCGCCCCAGCCCAGAGACATCGACGCGGACCCGACCAAGGCCAGAAAAACAAAGATGACCTCGGCCTTCACCAAGTTCTTTGGCCCTTTGATGGTGTTTGCGCCCCGAAAGTTCATTACAAGGGATGGCATTGTCAGGACCGAGTACGGTGCATTCCTGCTTGCATGGGGAGTCTTTCTCGGAATTCTAGCCACAGGTAAGATTTTTTGGGTGTCAGAGGCAAAACCATCGCTAATTGGACACAAGGATATCTGCCCACTTTGCTACAGCTGTATTCAACCGACGTCTTTGATTTTGGCACCCAGCAGAACGGTGGCCTCATTTTCATGTACTCCATGTTGAGGGGCGTATTCTTGACATTTGCATTTCCGAAATTTATTGCCCTCGGCAGGAGATGGACAATGAAGAGAGAGCAGCAGGATCTGGCAGATACCCAAGAGTCCAGGTCGTCAGAGCGCGCTCCTCTCTTGAGAGACACCCGACAGCAAGCGGGAAACGGCACGCACAGTCCAAAAGACAAAGAAACCCCAAAGGAGCAAACATTTGCGTTTGATTTGACGTACACGAGATTTTCGCTGGTTGCTGATGGACTTCTGACATTGCTTTGCTCCTTCGTTCGCGAAGGTTGGCAAATGTATCTTGTTGCAGTTGTTCTGCCTTTTGCTGCCGGAACTGGCTCGGCCGCAAAAGGGACAGTCCTTCAAATGGTGGGAAGCTCTGCTACCAGCAGTGAGCGGACTGATGCTCTCGCCGGGGTATCGCTGGTCGAAAACATGGCTCGACTGTCGACAACGTTTGTCTTTGGTGTTATTTTTGCAGCGTTTGCCAGCATTGGAAGGACAGAGCTTGTTTTCACGTGCAACGCGGTAAGTGGTTGTGATTGACATCATAATATAAGTGATGGTGCTGACTCTACTTCTCAGGCTGTCGCGTTGATAGGTTTTGGAGTTTTGCTGTTTGCGCGCTTTCCACCCGAAGGGAGCCGCAGGCTTGATGAAAAGGACGACGTGAATCCAGCATTATGAAGGCTGGCATCAAAAGTAGGTCTACAGAAGTGATCTTCAGGCAGCAAGAGTCGACTTCAAGGACGAACTCCCTCATCACCCGCATTTGTTTCGAAGAACCACGGATGCTACAGCCTAGTATGTGACCAAGGGCGACCAGGAGGGACTTTTGTCTTGCCAAACACTCAATGATGGATATATCACTCATTATCTTACCTCAAAATTCTTTTCACCTAACCAGCTTTCACATCTCGTGGTTATTACCGATTCACTATACACCCTACGCGGTTACTGGCGGGTTGGCGTTTTCTTGACATCGTCTGTCACCAGTACCCGGATGGATCCTTTGTGATACCTCGCCGTTACTACACGACACTATCCTGTGACCTGCTATTTACAGCCTTGTCTGGATCAACTAGATGACACTATGCTTGAGGCCAGATAAAATGCCTATATATAAAGAGGAGGACCGAAACACCTGGAGAGCAGTAGCCAGATCGATCATCAAACAGCTGCTTTTCCACATCTCTTACAACACCTCTGACACCCACTTCAGCAACACAAAATCTTGCTCAATCTACACGGCTCTACCGTGCGGCCTAGTGTGGCTCTCTCGCCCTGCTGTTCTGGGAGCTTTTGTGTAAATTGCCTGAACCCGTCTTCCCGATCATTCTAACATCCTTCGTTTAGTCTGTGGGACTTTCTCGAGCACCGAATTTCGGAGAGAAATCGAAAAGGATACCGCGAATTCCCGTTGCCCGGTTACGAAGAGCGTGCTTATAGTCCTTCCGACGTTAGCATCATCGTGCCCACCGTCGACACAGATCCGGCATTCTCTGATAGCCTCGGCGGCCTCCTCAGGAATAAACCACTCGAGATAATCATCATTACTACTGATTCACGCCGCGTCTGTAAATGCCAATATGGGACAGACCGAGCTCCGCATCCTTACCGTCTCCAAAGCGAACAAACGCGATCAGCTGCTCCGAGGCATCAACGAGAGTAAAGGAAGTATCATGGCATTGATCGATGATGACGCATTTTGGGCACGCGAGACTATTCTTTTGCACCTGCTGGCGCCTTTTCAGCAGGAAGATATTGGACTTGTTGGGGGCCCAATAACGTGAGTTGCCTTCCAAAGACCCACTTCTCTGTCTATACAGTCTCGAGGGGGAGAGAGTCCACGCTGGCTTTCGGTTGCAGCAAGTTAATTTCGAATATTTCGCAGCTCGTACCTACCACTCAAGAGACAATACCCTGGCACCATCATGCCATGGGAGGTGGCAGCCATTCGTCTTCGTGGGAAGCGCCTCGGGAGCATGAAAAGCGCATATGCTGCCGATGGTGGCATCAACTTTTGCGTATCCGACGTCACAGCGCTGCTCCGATCCGAGATCGCCCGCGATCCGGCGTTCCAGTCTGCCTTTGCAAACGACGTGTGTATGGGCCAACGCTAGAAATCTGGTGACGACAGCTTCATCACGCGCTGGGTCCTTTTCCAACACTTGTTCAAGCCGCAGCGCCGCGACGGGGAGGAGGAGCCAGTCCAGTGGAAGCTGGGTATGCAGCTTACAGAAGGCGCCGAAGTCGGGGCCTCCATCATGCCAGACTGACGGTTCGCGGGTCAGATGAAGCGGTGGTACCGGAGCGGCCTGCGACACCGACTGATGTGTCTCGTCTACGTATCTGGCTTCTGGGGCATGTACAAGACATGTCCGCAGATGACGCGGCAGATGGTCGAGGGCATGCTCAACCCGGTGCTGCTGTGGGTGCGGCTCTACAGCTTCTGGAGAACATTCCACATCTGTCCGTGGTTTGGCTGCTTCGTTCTCTCCATGAAGATATACGACTACCTGGACGGTTTGTTACAGTTTGCGACCGAATACCCCTTTGCGAGACGCCATCTATGGGCTGCCGTGCTGGTCGACAGACTCTACCTCGTCTCGGACTGGTACTGCTGGGTGACATTGGGGACCGAAGCGTGGATCACGCGGCAAGCGGTCGATCCGCCCGCTGCTGGGAGGAGTTATCGAGATTGTGTCAAGGGAGAATAGAGCCGTGCTCTGTCCACCGTCCACTGTCCGCTATCAGAGTTTGCATCAAGGATAGCTGGCTGTCTAGACAATCGAAGAAATAGTTAGTACAGTCCGACACTCTTGGTTATTATGGTGAACTTAACACGCAAGGCTGTTAGAGCTTGAGCGAGGGGCTGGCGCAGTCAATAATTTATATTCGTAACCTGTCGCGGGGTTCGGTGATCAATTGACCGATGCCACTTAGACAGAAACCCCAACAATAGAAACACATCCCTCACCGTCTCTTCACCACTCAATCTTCCTCTCTTAGGTCTTTGAACTCCAACACCGGGCGAGTTCTGAAGTACTACAGCATGGTGAACTGGATCCTCGGCGAGAAGTTCTACCAACGTTACCCTCATCTGGATGGAGTCAAAGCTCTGTGGGAAACCAAGTGGAAGTTCCCCTGCTCGCTCGGGGTGTATCCTTTCCACGATGGCAAGCTCGAAGACTTCCAACCCATCTTCGAAAGCCTGATCAGAGACGACGTGAACGATGCGTACACAGACAAATACACCCAGTACTTTATGCCGACGGCCGAAAAACTCACCGACGCAGCCATGTCAGCCCAGGCCTCGGACAGAGCCAAAGCCGCCGCCCTGTTCAAGCGTGCCGCGTGTGTGTATCGAATATCTCGGTTCCCTTCTCTCGAGGCTGGTTCAGGACTAAAGAGAAAGGCATTTGAGCTACAAAAGCAGGTTTACTTGAGAGGTGCAAGCCTATGGGATGCTCCTATGAAAGAGGTCAAGATTCCCCATACTGCGGCAGATGGTGAGGACGGCAAGGAGATACCGCTGTTCGTTAGGCTGCCGCCAGGAGCAAATAGTGAGAAGAAATGCCCCGTAGTGCTGCTGATCACAGGACTGGACGGGCATCGACCAGACAACACAGAGGTAAGCACATCAGGCGCTCTGGTGTACTCACACGCACTCCGACTAACAGCATGGCCACAGCGAACTGACGAGTTTCTGGACCGTGGTTGGGGCTGTGTGATCACCGAAATCCCAGGAACAGCCGATTGCCCGGCAGCCCGTCGTGACCCAACGTCCCACGAACGATTGTTCACCTCGATTCTTGACTGGATGGACAAACAGCCGTCGTTCAACATGCGGAAATGTATGGCCTGGGGTCTTTCTGCTGGGGGTTACTGTGCCATCCGGCTAGCACACACTCACCACTCGAGGCTTGCTGGGGTCATTGCCCAGGGCGCCGGGAGCCATCTGTTCCTAAGTCGAGAATGGCTTGAGCACGTCAACGACCACGAATACCCGTTTGTCCTTAGCGAAGCATATGTTGCCAAGTACGGCTACCGGGACTGGGAAGAGATGAAGGACAGGGCTCAAAAGGACTTTAGTCTTGTCGAAAATGGGATTGTGAATGGGCCCTGCTGCAGACTGCTCCTGATCAACGGCACCCACGACGGGCTTGTTCCCATAGAGGACAACATCCTTCTCATGAACTACGGCCGCCCAAAAGAAGCCCGGTTCTATGACAAAATGCTGCACATGGGCTATCCACCGGCAAATGAGAGCATTTGGCCCTGGATGGAATCCATCATGGCCACCGCGTCATGAGCATCGTCTCAGCCTTGCATGTTCAATACCCTCGCGAAGTTATCAACTCCCAGCCTCTCGGAATGAATACCTTGCTGTCTTTGATATGCTTTACCGTCCACGGGGTGGTGTTGGCAGCATCGGCCTCTTTCCCGACAAAGCCTTTTAAAGAATCCATTTCATGGATTGCCAGATATTTTGGAGGCTCATCTTTTGTCAGAGCCGTCTTTGGGCCAATGACATACCTGGACGATCGTCGATATCCTGGCAACTTGTGCAGCATGTCGAGATGCTCTTCTCGGTACCATTTGTCGAAGTCGGGCTCATCCACTGGGTGCATCTCGACCGTCGCGCAAAACGGCGCGGGGACTTTATCCAGCGGCATCAGCAACAGTCGGCCTCTTCTGTAAGCGCCAGACACTCACCTTCACCCCGTCCGTCAGGATCATAGTCCTGAATTAACTTATAATTCCTGATATTGAAGTTCCCTACTTCGGACGATGGCTTTTTGTCGGGCCACATGTCGCTGGTATGGCGCACACCGTTCAAGAACTCTTTGGAACTCAACGGGTCTTCGAGTTCGGTCTGGTATAACACCAAGAACTTGCGTGGCGATTTCTCGCCTGAACCAAGTGGAAAGTCGGCCTCCCGATACATGGCCGCGCGCACGGCAGTCTTGCTGTTGATCAAGTCCGGCAGCTGCCACCGATCAGCCTGGTCTACACGGGTCTACACGAGAAGGGACGGTCTAGATACGAACATGTTCATCGATATACCATTTTACCCAAAGGTCGTCGTCAACCCCAGAATTTGGGAATGGTTGCGAGTTGACCCATAGAAGATATTGTAGGGGCATTTCTCGTCTGCTTCTCTTGTGTCGCGCAAGTGGGACGTTTCTTTTGATCGATGCCTTTCGAGTGAGACGTTTAGCTGTTGCGATCTGGATCTTTGCCTTCTATGTTGTAAAGTGGTCCGCACCCGACTCTTTTATCTCCCCGTATTTCACACCTCCCTTCCCCGCACCCAAAGTTTCACGAGCTCATCCGAGGCTATCGGAACATTGGCCTTGACTGTTAGAGTATCCAGGGTGTTTATGGTTCGATCTGGGTCCTCAGTTAGTGGGGTTGGCCATTTCTTTCAGAGCAGGACATGCTTAACAAACATTTGGGGAAGGGCCACCAGGGTTATTTGGGGACGATCCGCCGTTCAGAGATTCGCGAATTCCACCGGAAGATTGACACCGAAGAAGATGCGGGATCGAACCAGCCTTGTGAGACGTATAGCCCAGACTACATTCTGCCAGCGAGTATACATCGCCGACTGGCAGCAGAGCAATCATTAGGAACGTATCAAGCACTACATTTGCAGCTGAATGGAATTCTTGTCTTGAGTTCCTTGCTTGATCCGTAACTCTCTTGGATTTTCGCATCGCTGGTGTTTTCTGAGAGTCCTAAAATGGAGAAGGACCAGTCGTTGCCAGTCGCTTGCCAGTCCCTGCGCAGTTTTCTGCTCCACCTTCAATTTTACCCACATGTCCACATATCAAGAGTCAACGCCCTCAACAACTACAAAGGACAAACACACCTCTAGCTCCACATCCCCCTTGCCATCATCCAAACGCTGCCAGGACTAGCCATGGCTGGACCCAACTCCTTCAATGCCGCACCAGATGCCACCGTAACAAAGGCGTTGAAGGCCTCGCTCGATGCCATCGACGCAGCCGATGCACAGCTGAGAGAACTCAATCGGGCCATCCACGACAACCCGGAATTGGCTTACAAGGAGTTCTTCGCCGTCAAGACCATCTCGGCCTTCCTGAAAAAGGAGGGGTTTGCCGTGACCGAGCAGACGTACGGCCTCGAGACATCCTTCACCAGTGAGGTCGGCCAGGGCGGTCCTCTGGTGATCATCTGCGCCGAGTACGACGCGCTGCCGGGCATCGGCCACGCGTGCGGCCACAATTTGATCGCCACGTCGTCGATCGCTGCGTTCCTGGGCGCCGCCACGGCTCTCAAGTCGAGCGGCATCCCGGGCCGGGTTCGCCTGCTGGGCACGCCGGCCGAGGAAGGCGGCGGGGGCAAGTGCAAGTTGATCGACGCCGGGGCGTTTCGGGACAAGGACATCGGCGCGGCCATCATGGCACACCCGGTGACGGCCCACCAGTTCTCGGACGGGTACACGGGACTGGCGGGGCTGAAGTTCATCGCCTCGCACAAGTTCCGCGTCGAGTTCCGCGGCCAGCAGGCACACGCGGCGGGCGAGCCGTGGAACGGCGTCAACGCGCTCGACGCCGCCATCACGACCTACAACAGCGTGTCGATGCTGCGCCAGCAGATGCGGCCCGACGAGCGCGTCCACGGCGTCATCGAGGACGGCGGCTCCGTCCCCAACGTCATCACCGCCTACACCCGCATGAACTGGTACGTGAGGGCCCCGAACGTGGCGAGGGCCGACAAGCTGCTGGCAAAGGTGCACAGGTGCTGCGAAGCCGCCGCCGCCGCCACGAGCTGCGAGATCAATTTTATTACGTGAGTCCCAACGTCCTTGTCCCCTTATTCTCCCTCGTTCTACCCGCGAAAAAAAAAATCCCTTGACGAGCGGGAGAGACTGAACAAAAGGGACGTTGTACGTGTACGTGTGATGATTCGGTGATTTAAACGTGGTCATGGCGCTTGACGGCCAACTCTCCTCTACTCTCCTCTCCTCGTGTTCTTTGTCTACATATTTCTACAACTCATGATCTGACACATAACCCCCCTTTTCCGCAGCGCCCCCACGTACAAGAACCTGAGAGTCAACCTGCCCCTATGCAAGCAATATGTCGAGGACATGGCGATGATAGGCGAGAAGATCATGGTCAAGAACGACGAGTCGTACACGGCATCGACGGACATGGGTAAGCAATAAGTTCACGAAACTCGCCCCCTGCCCCTGCTTCCTCTCCTCCTCCTTCTCCTCCTCCTCCTCCTCCTCCTTCTTCTTTGTCGCTCTCCACAATCCACCTTGTTTCGGAATCAAGTAACCAACCAACTGATCGACCGACCACCAGGGAACGTCTCGTTCGAAGTCCCCAGCTTCCACGGCACATTCCCCATCCCCACCGAGCCCAACGTCTCGATGCACCACCCGCGCTTCGCCGGGCACGCCGCGACAGACGACGCCCACCGCGCCGCCATAACCTGCGCAAAAGGCATGGCCATGCTGGCGCTGCGCGTGCTCACGGACCCGCGACTCGTCGAGGAAGCGTGGAAAGACTTTGAGAACTTTGATGACTGATTTTGATGTGATTCCGTCAAGGAGGAATGTGCAATGTTCTGTGGTGTACGTTGCTGTCGCGTCCTAGGTTTCAAGACTCTCTCTCACGTCCGCAGAGATCTCGGTATTTTCTGGCACAGGCAATACAGCTGGTATCAGCCATGCTTGTCC